TAAACCCATAAGGCTGTGAAAACAATCCAAAGTGAACTGAGGAATTGCTTCGGAGACTGCGAGGCTACTGTGGCTAGAAGAAAATATGGGGTAGAAAACCCCGCTGAAGCGTTCCGACAAGGAAATTTTTCCTTTGAGTCCACAGGTAATTGAATGCTTGAGTCATCATCACGTAGATTGCAGATAATAAAGACCTTTGCTACTNGAGGCACAAATTTTAGTCCACTTCGTTGTGGAGAGATTTGGTCTCTTTAAAATACCTGCAGGTGGAGGGTTGAATGTTGGGGGGACAACGAACGCTTTGTTCCTATCTTCTAAATGATCGTTATGTGTCAAGCCCACTTTCTAACTGTTTCCTCCATATGTGGAAAAAGTGACAACCGTTGTAATATTGCTGTGTTTAGTACATATTTTGGAAGCCTTTCAACCAATAATCTCAAATTATTATTGCTTGCAATCTGAGCAATGTAGTTCTCGAGTCAACTCAATGGCTTAACTTAATTGGTTGCCAATTGTTGATTGTGTTTTTTTTTCATTCTATTAGCCCCTCCCCTGTGTAACTATAAAGGTAATTAAAAGCACCAATGCCTCTAATTTGTTTTATTAACTTCAAATTTAAGTAAACACTCCACGCGCTGAATGAGCTTTGCAATTTCGCCAAAGGACGGAGTGTGCGATAGACTTACCTCCACGTGGTGCACCCTGGGCAACGTATACTCATACGGCAAAAAAGTCTATAAATCGGCAGTTGACCTCTGACTTCAAACTACCCTTACCCCATTGTATATCATATTCCACAGTACTCATCTCACCTTTTTCCACTTCTGTGTCTGTCTCTTTTACACCTTTCAAACTGTCTTCTGTTCCCCCTCTCGCTCTCGACTTGTTTCACTTTGATGTTCCTCCTCCTCTATGAAGCCTGAAGTCAACTAAAGGGCTAATGATAACTTTCACAACGCCTGCCATTTGATATAAATAAATAAATAAATTTCGCCAAAGGTAATCTAGAACTGAATAAACCGTTGTGTCATTGGACACTCTTTTGTAAAATCTAACGAAACTGAGCATTATTTGCACATTTTTAAATCAGAATGAAATAAAGCGCGCTTCTTAATGAAAGTGTGAAAAGAGGCCAGTGTGCGCAAAGGGAAGAATTTGTGTGTTTTCTTAGGTCGAAAAGTGGGCTTAGTTAGGATATAAAGTGGGTAAAAAGTGAATTGGGGATATTAAAATATGAACTAAGTCAATAATCGCATCTCAAATTTATTCCATCCTAATTAGTTATGAATGCCTCTTATCAAATGCCCTTTGAAGTTGGCAGGTGTGATTGAAGGTGGGGCGGTGGGGGTAATGAGGAGGTTGGGGGGAAGGAGATAAGCTCTATTGTGTATTATTTTAAATAATTATGCTGTAAATAAAAGTTTATATACGATGATTCAAGGCAACCATTGGCTATAATTGATCTAGGAAATGGGTAATGTTAATCAACTGTTATAAGCCGTGAATTGGGCGTCAGATCAGTTTACACAGAATTGCATTCAATTCCAAATTCTGATCCAGCATTGGTAATACGACACTGAATTGCGAAATTCATATTTAAGACAATTACTCTGTGCCAAACTAAATTCAACGGATTAGCGCATCAAAATAATTTCTAGATTTTGCAATTCTTACGTTTTATTCAACGTGTTGAATATGCTAATGTTTGTTAGCCAACTTTGAATTGAACGACCGATGGTCTACAAGTGAAGCTCATTTAGTTATTATAAGTTAATTAGCGATAATTAAATTAAAGAAGCGTAGAATCAACTGACAGACAGGTTGAATGTTCGTCAAATGTCTTAAATTCGCGTTGCCTAATTCAATTGCTCAAGGTGCTTGAAAATTTTCATCCTATTGCAAAAAAAACACTGTGGAATAAATGAATGAGATTCGATAAGTAAAAATGACGTGTTTTCATAACTTGAGAGCTAAAAAACTTCGTGTTGCAATATATTAAAAACAAATATATACACCACTTCCAACTGAGAAGTCGTAGTGTGAAAGACTTCTCCAAATGAGCGTAGCGTAGATTTAAGAGCTAATTCTTTTAACGATAACTTGAAATTAACATCTAGAGTGCTAATAACATCAGGTCGTAAGGTACTAATTAATAAAGGGAGAAAATTTACCATAGAGCTATGCTAACGAAGTGCCATGATTTGTGAAAACTTAGCCTGGAGAATTTCACCAGGACGTTTCGCGGAAGATATGGATTTGGTTTTACAAGGCACTCCCAATGCTTTTTATCTGATATTTACGGGGTGTGCGATAGACTTACTCATACGGCAAAAATGTCTATTAACCGGCAGTTGATTTCCCACTTCAAACTACCATCACCCCACCATATGTCATATTCGACCCCTTCCACAGTACTAACCTCACCTTTTATCTAACTTTGTGTCTATCTCTTTTACTTCTTTGAAACACTCTTCTGTCCCCCACTCCTCTCGACCTTTTTTCACTTTGATGTTCCTCTCCCTCTGTGAAGCCTGAAGTCAACTAAAGGGCTAATGGTAACTATCAAAACGCCTGCCATTTTACATAAATTTTTTAATGTTTACATTGAGCTCTCAGATTCTAATGTGATTAATGAAAGTAGAAATCGAATGCAATGTTAGGACTAAGGCAAGTAAGTCCTCATTTAGTTTAACCAGACCGAAATAGCTAAAGTGCCAAACTTTCATTTCGGCTTATATTAAATTAAATCCTCACCTATGGGAAAGTTAAGGGGAAATTGAGCGAGGACTGTGTTACCGGACTTTTATTAATATTCGAGGAAAAGTAAGTTGTGACCTTGTACTATCAACAAGAGCACTTTTACTAGAAGCAATACCGAACAGGAAAAGTACTTTTGTTTTCAAGGTGATAAGGGATTATCTTTCCCAGGAACCCAAATCCCCTACTCTATATAGCTCTTACTATCTATTTCGATTTCCCTAATAATTTTCCATTCAAAAGCTTTACTCTGAGTTGATTAGCTTCCGTTGTTAATAAAAGCATCCCGAATCAGCCACATTAGTGGGAATAAAATGTAGGGATTTTAAAAACTCAAACCTTGGCAGTTGGCATATTTGGGAGAATTTTAACGGGAAATTTTAAGTCTAAAGTGCTTGCTAAAAATAGTTGCTAAAATGAGGTTGAAATTTTAAAGTCAAGCAGAGCAATTTTTTCTGCACCTTCTAAGTAAGAGCCATTTAGTTAGTCGATGAATCCTGGAATATTTCATGATGACTTTATTCTTCCAGATGGATCAAACCCCTGAAATTTGAAATATTTCGCTTGCTTAGCAGATACTAGTTATCAAGGGCAAAAAAAACCAATCACTCATTACAATGTACATTTTTGAAATAGTTGTTATAATTGCGCATGAAGAGGTGAGGTGCAATTCTTCACACCCCTTTAATACTCTTCAGCTGCCAAGCTCTAAGTTGAAGACACATCCAAAGGGGAGATTAAAGGAGAAAAAAAAACATATTCCTCACTTTTGTCCAACACTTTGAGGTTGATTGTTTGCTCATGTTCAATATAAGTGCTCGGGTCATTATTTTCAGTTCAATTCTCCAACATACGGCAAATTGAACCGACTATGTGATAGGGAAACAACATGCCCGTGCTACGGTTGTTCCTTTTTCCTTAGATTAATCGCCTCATAAAAGAGACATGAAAGCATTTATATGTCCGGTTTTGAATGACTTTCAATGATAGTTGCTGGAAGAAATTCCTTATTTTGTACATAAATCTTGCCGAAAAATATGCATATATATATTAGCCTTCATGTCACCACTAACTAACCAACCAATGTGCGAATAAATTCTTAAAAGTTTAAAAGAAGTTCTAAAGCCCGGGGAATCCTGTGAGTTCAGAACCATTGGATTCCGATATGTTGAATTAAATTTGCGTTGAAAGGCACAAGTGATTGTACATTTTATCACATTATCGCTATGTCTACCATCTGCTGTGCAGGGCTGTCTCTCACACTTGGTTTGTGGTGATTGATTCGACAGTGTCCTTGAATGTTTAAACATGTCATTCTCCCTGTCTGTGCCTTACTTATTTACTAACACTATACAACAATGCGCGGGGTTGGAACTCTTTAAGTGATTTACTATTCATAATTTTAACGCACACTGCCAGGAATTGCGTTACCCATTTATGCGTGTGGTGTTTGGGTAAAATTGGATTCTAATGGCATTTAGCCATTTACTCATAATCCTGCCTCCTGCAATTCGGTTATTTGATATTCAAGTGATAAATGGATCTATGATGACTTGCACTATTTCAGAGGTCTTTAAGCCTACATAACTTCATGCGGCCGGGGATGTGTGCTGGACTTACCCTCACTTGGTGCACCCTGGGCGACGTATACTCAAACAGCAAAAAAGTCTATAAACCGACAGTCGACTTCTGGCTTCTAACTACCATGACCCGACTGTTTGTCATATTCGTCACCTTTCTCAGTATTCATCTTACCTTTTCCCTGACTTTGTGTCTGTCTGACTCTTTCACATCTATTAATCATTATAATGTCCCTCCTCTTGACTTTTTGTCACTTTGATATTCCCCCTCCCCTCTGCGAAGCCCAAAGTCAGCTAAATAGCTATGATAACTATCGAAACGCCTGCCATTTGAAATAAATACTTCATGCGGACACTTCGCAAAAACAGTAAAGTCAAAATCACCACGCCGATGGGGAATCGTTATGACGCCAAGAATAGAGCAATCAAACCACATTTGAAAATTGTCATCTGGGAGGTGATAATTAATTCAAGTAGGACACTCATGAAGGAATTCCTGCCTAAGTCTTCAATATTTACCTAAGAACATTTCGGGGTATGCGTGTGGGTATGCGTACGAACACTTTGAGTTTCGTTGTAATAGCTGAAACAACGCATGCGCTTGCATTTGCTCCAATTTCATGACAGTAGTTCCTTGGTGGCCCTTGTCATCCAGTAGGACGAATGAGCTTACCGATGGTCCGCGCGCAAAACCGACTCACTTTCCGGACATTCGGACAGGCTCACAACCGAAAAAATAGAGGAGTCTATGAACGCGCGCCATATTTTCTTTCGCCATCGGCTCTCCTGCCCACTCGAAGCAAGAATGGATCGTGCTTTTACTCGGAGTGTCTTGAAATCTTCTCCTTCTTCTTCGCATTGTCGAAGGAAAAGTCAATTGCTTTTATTCCTCAGATTGAAGAGAAGGAGTGCTTCACATTGCGTTGCTACGCATCAATGTGTACCATTCATTTGGCTTTAAGTTAATGTGTTTTAAGTATTCAACGAGGTTTGGCACCCATTGTCAAGCCACTTTTATGAGTGCATATTGAAGAATTTGCAACTTTCAAGTACCAGATATTACTGAAGAAACCATTACCTCTCTGTTAAATTCTGGTCAATAGCTTTGACGGTGGATTCGATTTATTGCAGAAAGAATCCCCTCTAAAAAAGGATTCATTATATGTCAGTCAAATTTTGTTAAATTTGTATTCAGTCGATTTTGACTAAGAGGTACACGAAATATTTCTGCAGAGTCTCTCCTCGAAACTTGCATTTAAAAAAACTACTTAAAAATGAAAAAAATAAAAGCTGATATTTATTTGCAACTGCGTATATTTTTCCATGCGATCAGATTAGCAGTGTTGACGTTGCACCTGAATAGAATCAAATGGATCTCTTGATAAGCATTCAAAAATTGCTTTTTGTATGATTCAATTGTTCATATATAATTTATTCGCTGCCAGGCTAATGCACCACTATCTAACTCCATGGGCGTCAAAATTATGCTTAGAATTGAATAGATCAATAGGTGAAGTCGATCAAAGGAGGAATACGATTTTTTATTGCCTTCAACTTCATTTAGAGTTTAATTAAGCCCTAAAGTTTCCAATGAAATAGGTCATTGTAAATAACTATACCCTACGTAAAATTGCTGAGAAGTATGAAGTTAATAATAACTGGAATTTTTTACTGTATTTCATTCATTTCAAATGGCAGGCGTTTTGATAGTTATCATTAACCATCCTGACTTCGGGCTTCACAAAGAGGAGGAAGAACATCAAAGTGACAAAAAATGACTTCAGGGTTTCACAGAGGGAAGTAACATCAAAGTAACTAAAAGTCGAGGGATGGGGAACAGAAGAATGATTCTCAAATGTAAAAAAGACAACCAGACTCAAAGCCAGAGAAAAGGTAAGATGAATACTGTGTAAGTGGTGGAATATGACATACAGTGGGGTGATGGTTGTTTGAAGTCAGAAGTCAACTGCCGGTTAGCAGACTTTTTTGCCGTATGAGTATACGTTACCCAGGGTGTACCACTTGGAGAGGTAAGTCTATCGCACACCCCTTTATTGTATTTAATGGTAATCCAACTTAGATTAAATTTGGTCCTCTTCCCGATATTCCAAGTGTCCTTTGTTTAACAGATACATTGGGAAAAATGTTAAATAACGTCTATTATAAAGGTCGAGATAAACAGGATTCCAAGATGGTTCTAGGAAAGTGGAATTCATTCATGATACCTGTATTTATTAAGTAATCCTAAATTCAATAAATGGAGCCTTTGCAATGCTGTTTCTTCAAAGGCAGCACAATCCGAAAATATAAGGATTAATGAAAATCAGTCTCAGCAATAACTTTAGCAAAGAAAAGTTCTTTTACTTCTAAAGGATGGAGACGGTCAATTTCAGTTGTAATTAAACATAAATGATTAGAAATTTTTATAATAAAAATTTGCATCTTTAGCCAAATCCATATCAGTTTCCTCTTTCCGCTCCTCCTCCTCAATCTAGATTCGACAAAAATGTGTTTTGCATGTATGCAATCATTATTAATATCATCACCCATAATGTTAAAAAAACGAATTTCATATTTTAATTTAGAATAAATCAGTCAAAATGAGCTCTAAAAGCGAAAGTGAAGGACCGCGTTTCAAAATTCAAATTTAACTTTCATATTCCTTGGATTGGAGCAAGCTCTTTTCTAAGATGTATTTATTTATTTATATCAAATGGCAGGCGTCTTGAT